CAGGGATTGAGGGTGTGGAAGGGGTCCTCATCAGTGTGAAGTTCACAAGGATCGAGGGTGTGGAAGTGACAGACTGGCTGTGTGACCTTGTGTTGGGGTCATGTCCCGGGCATGTATGTGGCACACCTTGACAGTTCCCTGTGAGTGGAGTCTAGTGTCCCCTAGGCAACTGTCATGGATCTTTACCATGCTGTGTGCTCAGATGCTGGGCAGAACGCTAAGGACCCTGGGGCCCAGATCTGTTTTTAGGCTCCTGGCCTCCTGCTTGTTAATTGTCCTGCTGTGGAGGCTGAGAGGGTGTGACAGCTCCAGCTGGGTGCAGGATACAGGTCACACACATAGGAGGGCTTGGCTGGCAAGCTTGGAGGATGCCTCTGACCTTGCCTTCCTTACATCAGAGCTCTGTCTTTTGGGTTCATGTCAAACAAACTGAGATGAGTGAGGAGGAATTGGCAGAGGACACCAGAGGACAGGGTTGGCATCACCAGAGGGCAACTATATTATCAGTGCATGACCCGCCCCACGCCTGAGAGTTCTGATGCTACCCTGGGGCTAAAGAGAGCTGCTTGCGTTCGCTATACTTGCTATTTCCTTCCTTCCTTCCTTCCTTCCTTCCTTCCTTCCTTCCTTCCTTCCTTTCTCCCTCCCTCCCTCCCTCTCTCCCTCCCTTCCTCCCTTCCTTCTTTCTTGCCTTTATTTTTCTTTTCCTTTTTTATTTTTTGGACAAGGTCTTAACTGTTTAACTCAGTCTAGCCTCAAACTCACACTTTAGACCAGGCTGGCCTTGAACTCACAGAGATCCACCACTCTCTGCCTCCCAAGGGCTGGGATCATAGGTATGAACCACCACAAATGGCCTTTGCTTGCTGTTTCTCTGTGGCTGGTAATCCCAATGGCTTTGTGCATCTCCCAGGACTGAGCACTAAATCTATGCATTGAACAGATTTCTCCTGATGAGGGAGGAACTGCAGATAGAGAGAGTGCTCACACGCGTGTTTTAGAAGGTATAAATACCTGGGGAACTCTCAGGAAGGAAATGTAGATTTATATTTTTCTTTTTGAGATAGAATCTCGTTGGGTACCTGGGGCCGCCTTGAACTCACAATCCTACTGTCTCATCCTCCTGAGCACTGGGATTATGAGTGTGCTGCCACACTTAGGTTCAGAAGTCCCTTGAGTTTGTTTTCCTACTGGTTTGGTTAATCTGGAACTGTGTCACAAGAAAAACTGAAATAAATGTGTTCAACCACTGTAAGAGGGGCTTCACGCTCATAGTCAGAGAAATGTAAATTGAGGCAAGCAATTTTTTTTGCACCATTTCATGTCATTCTGGATGCACAGAAGTGGACATTCTATTGTTGATGGCTAAGTGTGTTTATAGGATAGTGCAGCATTTCCTTGTGAAAATTTTAAAAGTGCAAAGAACCCACGTATGCTACATGTCAAAAGTACCGGGTTAATATATGTTCAAGGAATTTATCCTATAGAAACACCCATTTGTGAACTCATAGATTTTTATAGTGAATAGCATTTGGAATCTCTATAGCAGACAGTTTAAACATCATGGGCACACACTTAGTAGCCTGTGGCCAGATGCACCTAAGGAGCCCTGCAGGCCAGGACCAGTTACAGATGAATCTAGTTATGTTAAAGGCCCAAGGCAAGTATTCATATATACTCACGAAAATGAGATACATTGCAATTGGGTGTGGAGAGGTGAGACATAGAGTATACTTCATGCAGCAGTTGCCCCTTGTGTCTCATGGTGCAGAACCCACAGAGTGTCCCACATGGGTGGTGAGTATGTGGCTGAGACACTGGCTGGTGGAAGTAGAGCCGTGATGGTCTGGCCAGGAGGCCCAAACATCCAGCAGGTCTCTGATTGCGTCCAAGGCTGTTTTTAGGCTGAGACCCACTCTCCTCTCTCTTCTTCTCCTAGCTGGTGGCGGCCATTGTCTTCATCAGTTTTGGTGTCGTGGCGGCCTTCTGCTGTGCCATAGTCGATGGCGTGTTTGCAGCACGGCACATCGTGAGTACCACCTTCAATGTCCACGTGGAAAATGAAACTTGTCACAGGGCCCAACTCTGACATCTTCACACTGGCTTCAACTGAGCTGCCACAGCTGACCTTCCTTCCCTTGCCGAGTCTGACTCCGGCAACTCGAAGCCTCAGCCTCCCACAGGTCACACAGATAAGCTACACAGTAAGCACAAACACAAACCACACACAGAAGGCACAAATAATAGCCACACAGCAAATACAAATACCCACAACACACAGCAGGCACAAACACACATGCCACACACACAGACATAAACACCACCACACACAGAAGGCACAAACACCCGCCATACACAGAAGACACAAACATACCATATCCAACATAAACATAGAACCACATATAGTCAGTGCAAACACAACCACACCAACAGGCACAAACACATACACCACACACATCAGACACAAACACACAACAGATAAACATACACATCACACTGCAGATAAAACCATCCCTCATTATTTCAGACCCCCCCGGTCCCCTTAGTCACTAGAAAACCCTTGTCCCCACCTCCTCCTCAGTCTAGAGCTCTGTGTCCAGGTGACTGCCCTCAGCGCTCTCACCACGCTTAAAGCAAAATGTACCGTGAAATCTCAGACTTCACTCTTGCAATGTGTTTATAGCTCCATGATCTCTCTCTGAAGACAGTTGCATAATGTGGGGCGACATATATGAAAAATCTTTTTCTCTACAAAACAGGCTCTAAGAGGATGTAGAGCCCTGCTAGTGGCCCCATTGTGAACAGAGGAAGGAAATGCTACTTGCATCTGTTTGCTCTGTAGCCGATCTGAACTTGGCCCCCACAGTGAACAGGCCGCCTTATCCACCTGGTTAGCAGCTCTAGGGCCAGGCAGGTTCCCAGGTGTCATAGGCGAATGATGGGTCACCAGGTTTCCTGCCTAAAGCAGGAGATCAAATAAAAAAGCAGGTACAGATAGTGTGTCATGGGGCACACGATGCTGTGATGTGTGCTGTAATGTGAACAATAGAAAAGATGCAGTAGAATGTGATGTGTACAGCGTACTAATGGCGTGGAATACGGCATGAGAGAATAAATGTACCGTGATGTAGGAGGATGTGATGGAGCATGATGTCATGTGACATGGCATGCTGTGCTATGGGGTGGCACATTACGTACAACATGGTAGGATGTGATCTGAATGATATGGACTATGTCATGATGTGTTGTGGTACAATGTGCCGTGACACAGGAGAAAAGTAGTGTAATATGGTGTGATGTGCTCATATAATGGGCATGGTGTGATATGAGGTGTGAGTGACTCGTGATGATGATGAGGATGATGTGATGGTGGTGATGATGGTCATGGTGATGATGGTGATGATGGTGATGATGATGGTCATGGTGATGATGGTCATGGTGATGATGGTAGTGGTGATGGTGATGATGGTCATGGTGGTGGTGATGATGATGGTGGTGGTGATGATGATGGTGATGGTGATGATGATGGTCGTGGTGGTGATGGTGGTGGTGATGAAGATGTGGTGATGATGGTGATGATGGTCATGGTGGTGGTGGTGATGGTGATGATGATGGTCATGGTGGTGATGATGATAGTGATGATGATGATGATAGCTTGACATGTACAAACCAGGCAGTAATTCCTGTGTATGTATTTGTATGTATGCACCTGTATATGCAGTACAGATGTGTGTAGCTCCCCGAGTCCCTGTAGTTTGGTGCTCAGGCATCTGGTCATTTGCCTTCCCTGGGCAGGCACATAGACAACAGTGTTCTCAAAAGAATGCGCCAGCCTTGCCTGGAGATTCTGTCCCTGTGTAGCGTAAGGTTCTCTCAGCCCCATGACCTCTCAGCCCTTCAGCACTTGTCTGGGAGAAGTCACCTCACAGAGACTTCTACCTCCAGGTAAGTCAAGTCTCCTGCCTGCAGCCCCAGGTGTGAGAGGACCGACTCACCGTCCCTGGCTTCACTGATGAGAAGAGTGTAGGAGGCAGCCTGTCTGCATATCTGTGTGCTCACCCGTATCCCTGCCTGCGTGTTCCCTGCTAAGCTTGCCGTCTATGTGTACCCATCCCCATATTTCTGCCTATGTGAGCTGATGGGGCAGGACCTCTAAAGAGTGGCAGTGTAGCTGAGAGTCCAGCAGAGGGCCCACATGAGCAACGCCACGGGGCCCTGACTTAATCATCTAGACACCCTAAGGCCCAGCTCCCTGGTGTCCTGTGGTCAGTTACAGTTCTGTGGGGTGGGTGGCCAAGCTGTTGGTGACTCACTGGGGTCTGCTTCTGAGGCCACTGGCATCATGCAGTAGACACTTAGCAGCCACCAACGGGAAGACAGTGTGAAGACTCCATTCTTCTTTACACCCTCATCTCTCGCCGGGAAGTTCACTGGGGAAGGATCTGAGTCTTGTCGTATTGTGAGGAAGGCCATGTAAATCTGACAGCCCTGAAGCCAGCTCTCCAACTGTCTTTACTGACTCCCTGTATCTCTAATCGCTATCCTGCCTGCTCCCCTCTTGTACCACCTGGTGCCAGTAGGCCTGCCTCCCATCTGAACCCATCCACGCCCAGCCTGGCAAACAGGTGCTATGCTCCACCATCGCTGCTGCCTGTGACTCCTGAGTTACTCTTTGTCTGCTGCCAGAATGACTCGTGGTTTCTAGACGCCTCTTAGGTCAAGAGCAGTGGTTTGAGAGACCCCACTGATACACAGTATTGAGCCTAAAGAAGCATTTCTGGATTATATGGCTTCTATGGCACTTCACATGTCCGGGCACCAGCTGCCTTCTGCCTTAGCAGCTGTAGGAGTTGCCCTGCTTGTTGCTCCGCCCCAATTCACTCGCCCACAGCTCTCCCTTACCTTGGCTTCCTCAGGGTTCAACGCTGTGTTGGGTCCATGAATGTCAGGGACACAGGAGTGGGGAAAGGATGAACTCCTGTCAAGGGGTGGGGTGTAGCAAAGGAGAGACGGATGCTTGAATGACGACTGGACGGGTAGTCTGGATGGATGAGTGGATCGGCCTCAAATTTTCCTTCTTCCCTTCCTAATAGAAGGAACTCATTTTGCTTTTAGGAAGAGAAAAGCCTAGTGCCCCTGGCAAGGCATAAAATACCTCTTGGCCCATTCAGTCCCATGCCCCTTGTCCCTGTGCTGATGTGTGTGCCCAGCGGATAGATGGAAGGGTGTCTGTAATTCTCTCCTCAGCAACCTTCTGGATGCCACACACAATACTATGGCATGCAATAATTCGCATGGCCTTGGTTCAGCTCCCATCCGTGGACGGTAAGCCTGAGATGGCCACTCCTGGTTGGTGATGTCCATTCCATCTACATTTATTTCTCTAGGAACCAAGACCACTCAGCACAGGACGGTGCCAGTTTTTCTCCAGTGGGACTGGGTACCTGTATGACGTCTATCAAACAGAGGTAAGCTCCTTTGGTCAGTGTGGCTTCCGTATCCCCCAAGTCTTCTGGGTCTGGTTAAAATGACTGTCTTGGTTCTCACAGAACTTCCCACTGCGTGGGTATCAAGGCATTGACAGCTAGGAGCTAGCTTTGACAGTTCAATGCACAGTGCCGTTCTCTTTGGAACTGCAGCTGCACGCTTTCCTCTTGGACACAGCGTTAGGGTTCATTTGTTCAGGGCTGTGTGGTCAATTAGCATTTCAATTAGCATGTTCACTGACTTAAACAGTTCACATGTTTACTGTGACAACACATGTACAGTGTTCAAGAGCTGGGGACAGCTGTAGCGTGACCTCACTCTTTAGCTAAGTGAGATGCCAGGAAGAACAAGCGCACACAGCAGCTGACCTGTGACACCAGCCCAGGTGGGCACTGGCATGCCGCTCAGTTGGGCTGTCTACACCAGCGCTGTGGGGATTTGTGTGCTTAGTTAAATAAGGCTGCTCACGCTAAGTGCCAGTGCCAAGGAGGGGCAGGAATCAGCAAGTGGGTACCAGATTCTCATCTCGGTCCATTCTTGGGGTCTTCAGACCTGCAGAACACTGAAAAGGCATGTTCTGGGCATTCCAGAAAAGAGATGGCAATGTTAGGTGCTTGGGGGATGCGGGTAGGGACTCTGACAGCCCTGCCTTGCCCAGTCTCGCTCTGATCTGCCTAGTGCGGTGCTGTTCAGTCCCATCTTGCCCTGCTCTGCCCAGTCCTGTCCTGTGTCCTGCCCTGCCCCACCCTGCCAGGAATCAGAGAAGGGTCCTGGCAGTGCAGCCCTGCTTCTGGTCAGGGCAAGGTCTTGGACCTAGGCTGCCTGTTGTCTATGCAGAATAAAGTATGAACCTGCCCGTCTCTGCCCCAGGTCACCTGCTACTCCCTGAGCGGAAGGTGCCAGCTGAGAGTGAGGAGCAACACCTGCTATTGCTGTGACCTCTATGCTTGTGGGAGGTAAGGCACACGAGGAGCCTGTGTGTGTGCACGTGCACACACACACACACACACACGAGCACAGGCGAGACCCTGCACAGGGTCTCATCCATGAGCGAGGCCCCCACGGCTTCCTATATCTACTTGTGTTTTCTACATTTTCTCTGGATCTAGTTTCAGCAGTGAAAAAGTGGATTCTGAGTGATCGGGTTACCACCCAAGAGCACACACAGTGTGGAAGTACTGAAACCTGGCCTGGCCCCTGTTTGTCACACACTTGAGGCAGTTGACCATCAGGTGGCCACCAGTACATCCCATTTCTACTCCCTCTCAGGGGTGAGACCCACCTGCAGCTTTCTGTTAGGATACACATGGAAAATGAGAACACAAAATGCTTATTATTCTGACATAGGAGGTAGCTCAACCACCATCCTAACTGGCTATTAAGGGTCCAGGGCTAGTAAGTTGGAACATCCTGTGTCCACTTTCCACTGCACTGTGAGGCCTGGTGGAGCCTCCTTGGCCAGCCCCACCAAAGGTAGACGGATCCTCAGAGACGTAGAGAGGTCTCTAACTTGTTTGAGATGTTTTCACCGGGGTGGGAGGAGACAAGAAGCCAGCAGTAGAAGAGCCAGAGATCCCAGGCACCAGGAGTCCCAGGGTTTCTTGTGTAGCCTGCTTCTCGGGGGTCTATCTATGGGGTTCCATGGCTTCTGTCACCCCTCACATGCATTTCCTTCCCCCCTGGAAACATTCCCCAGGTCTTTGGAGGAACCCCAGTGCTTTACGCCAGGCCTGATTACCATCTGCTGCTCTTCAGTGGTGGCCAGGAGCACTCTAGTGTGATCACTGTAGGGTGCCCATGTTTGAATGATACCTTGGTACTGGAAAGAAGAGTTGCTATTTAATGGTCCCCTTTAACTGGCTTTCTAGATCAGTGAGGATGGGAGCTAAGTGATGGAGTTGGGAGGTACAGTTAGAGTAGGTTAGAAGTAGAATTCGGGCTAGTATTGGATTTGGGTTTGGCATTAGGGTTAGAGTTAGGCTAGGGCTAAGGCTAACATTTGTGTTAAGGTTAGGGTTTATGCTATGGTTAATGCTAGGGATAGAGCTGGTTAGTTTTTTTGGGGGGTGTTGGAGTTAGGCTTAGTGTTTGATTTGTGTTTGAAGTTTATAGATTGGGCTCGGGCTATCACTGTTAGTGTTGGCATTGGGCTGTGTGTCTAAGGCTGAGGCCGGGTGTGGTTAGTTAGGATTATTCTAGAGTTACCATTGCGTTGCCTTTTGGTTAGGGTTAGGATTGTCATTGTCCTTTAAGTTGTGTGTTGGAGTCAGAGTTTGGTCGTGAGTCATATCTAGGGTTTGGGTTAGGGTTGTTAACTTTGTGTTTGGAGTTAGTTATGACAATGTTGGGGCTTATTTAGGGTTAGAGCTAGCTAGGTGAGGGTTTGGATTTCACTAATGTTAGGCTTGAGTTAGGGCAGGCTTTGTGTTAGGGTTAAGGTTGACATTGGTGTAGAGTTAATGGTAGGGTTAGCTTAATGGCTCAGGTTAGGGTCTGTATTGGGGTGATTATTAGAATTGGAATTTATTTAGAGTTTTTGCTGGATAATAGAGTTATGGTTAGGGATTGGGTCAGTGCTAGGTTTAGGATTAATGTTAGGGTTGGGCTGTAGTTAGGTAAAGTGTTCGCAATTGGTTTGAAATACAGGTAGGCTTAGGGTTGGTGCTCTGTTTTGAAGTTTAGGTTCAATTTTAGGGTTAAGTTCGTGGTTGGGTTATGACTTATAGTTAAGGTTTGGATAGTTAACTGGTTACAGTTAGGGTTAGTGTTTTGAGTTAGGATTAGGGTTAGCACCATGCCTTGGGCCAGGGCTAGTTTAAATAGAGAATTAGTGTTGGTATTTGAGTTAGGATTACAGTTTTGTTCAAAGTTAAATTCTAACTGGGCATGGTGGTACATGCCTTTAATCTGTGCACTTGAGAGGAAGAGGCAAGTGGATCTCTCTTAGTTCAAGGTCATTTTGATCCATAGAGCTAGTTCCATGACAGCCAGGGTTACACACTGCCTTGAAAAACAAAACAGAGTGTTCAGTGTAGCGCTAAGACTAGATTAAAACTATGGTAGGGCTCAGGTTGTGATTTAGGGTCAGAGCTATGATTAGCTTTGGATCTAGGTTAATCCTGTTGTTAGTTGGCATTGACATTTGGCCTTAGGGTTAGGGTTATGGCTATGCTTAGGTTAAGTTTAGGGCTAGGATATAGGTTAGGGTTGGTTACAGGATTGTGGTTATATTTGTAATTAAGACTGTGGTCATACTTGGTTTGGGACTATAGGGATATATGAAAGGTTAGGGTTGATATTGGAGTTGAGGTTTAGGATTTGTGTTTGGAGCTAGGGTTAAGGCTAAGAGTAGACATTAGGGTCTAGAAGTTTTGTTCTAGTTTTGGGTTAGAGCTAGGGTTGAAGTTTGGTTAAGGGATGGGGCCAGGACTTGTCCTAGGTTTAAATCTGGGGCTGGCATTGGCTTGTAGGTATGGTTATGGTTACAATTAGAGTTTAGGATTAGAATTGGTTTTGGTATTAGCTTTGGAATTGTGTTGGTTTCTGAATTCTGGTTTAAGATTGGTGTTAGGTTTGACACTGGCTTTAAACATAGTTGTAGGATTAGTGGCTATTGTTGCGATAAAGCTAGTGAAGGTTTAACTTGGGTGGTGTTGGGGTACTGGGTGTGATGAGGTCTAGGATTTGTCTTAGAGTTGGGGTTCAAAGTTATGTTGTATGTAGACTTTCTGTGAGGTTAGGTTTAGGGATGATGTTCTGTTTGGGGTTTGGGGTTAGGGCTGTATTAGAATTTGAGGGTTAGTTTTAGAGTGATGTTTAAGGGTGGTTGTTGGAGCTTTGATTTACTGGAGTTATGGTTTATGTTATATTAAGATACAATAAATGTTAAGGTTAAGCTTAGGTTTACAGCTGGGTCTGGGGTTAGACTTAAGGCTGAGACCCGGAACTATGGCTTGGTTTAGGTTGTTACTGGTGCTATAGTTAGGATTAGTGTTGGAATGGGTTCAGTGTTAGAATTAGGGTTGAATTTAGGTTCAGCGTTATTGACAGGCTAGTATTGGATGGTTAGCACGTGGTTGGGCATTCAGATTATTGCTAGTGTTAGGGTAAGGCTATGGTTAGGACCGTGTTTGGTTATGCTTGGTGTTGGTGTTGAGTTTAATAGTCTTTGGTCTATGATTAAGGTAAGATTCAAAGTTATATCTTGAGTTGGGGGTTGGATGTGTTTGTAATAACAGTCAAAACCGCAATCTTGTGGTTGTGCCTAGTCTGAGGGTGTAGGAGCATGGTTAGTGGTGACATTGGGGTTGGGGTTAAGGTTAATGTTAATGCCAGGGTCTAGGGTTAGTGTTAGAGACTAGGGCTAGTTTTGGAATTAGGGTTTATTCTTATGTTTAGGGTTTGGCTTAATGGTAAATTTAGATATGGATAGGACTATGGTTTGGTTTTGGTTTGGTGTCGGTTTAGGATTATGGTAGGTGAAATTTTATATATGGTTAGGGTTGTAACTGTGGTTAGAACTAGGAATTTGTCAGTGTTATAGTTAGGATTAGAGATAATGATAGGACCAGGGTTAGGATTAAGTTATGGTTTGGATTGGGGACCTGATAGGTTTATGGTTAGGGCTATGACTGTGATATATTTAGGCTTTGGACTTAGGTTGCATTTGGAATTGTAGTTTTAAGGCTATGAATATCACTTGGCTGGACATTTGATTGGATAAATTTTGAGGCTGTGTCATTTTATAGCCATGACTACCTCTAGAGCTATTTTTGCCTTGTTAGGGATTAGTTTTTCTTCAGGGAAACAGTGTTTGGTTATAGCTATTTTTATGATTGGAGTTATATATGTTTTTGGGGGTTGGTTTATTTTTTGGGGTGTGTGTCAAGACTACTTCTATCTAGCTTTAAGGCTACAGTTGGGGATTGTGGCTAGGCTCAAGGTCAGCGGAAGAACTGCCTAAAGCCCTACTCTACCCTCTCCCTTCAAGAGTCAGAGTGGCCCAAAGTCTCCTGGGTTCTCTGGCTTGGAAGCTGAGGGCTTACATGACTCCTTTACTAACCTCCTGCCAGCCTGCACTGCCCCAGTGGTAATGTTCATGACTATGGCTCTACGTTAGGAGACTCATTGGTGAGACATAGCTTTAACTCAAAATGTTGTCTACTGCCTATAGCATGATGGCCTGGGCTGTTGCCTGGCAACAGCTCCTGCACATAGGTTGGTCCACTGGCCATAGACCTAGCACTCAATGATTGTCATCTAATCGCAGATATACTTGTGGGTGATCACCTGACTATGGTCTAACATGCTGTCACCCGGCCATGCTCTAGCAATGAGAGCAGTAACTTGGTCCTTTCTCTCGTAGCGCAGAGTCTTCTCCTGCCTACTATGAATTTGTGGGTGTGCGCAGCTGCCAGGATGTGATCCACCTGTACCGGCTGCTCTGGGTGTCCACGGTGCTAAATGTTCTGGGCCTGTGCCTTGGCATTATCACAGCCGCAGTCCTAGGGGCCTTCAAGGACATGGTGAGTAGTACCGTCCTACAGCCCCCCCCCCCCTTGACAAAGGATCTAAACTCCCGAGAGAGTCTGCATGTCAGATGGCAACTGGGGTTACCAATCCCTTGCCTTGGAAACAGTACTTAGCCACCAACTGCTTCAATCTTCTCCCACCCTCTTAGGCAGGCAGAACTTGTTGCCAGCTAAAGATTGAAACCCGCTGGCCAAGCTACTCTGCCACTGTGAGGTTCCAGTTGCCTGGGTGTGGTTCTGGTGGGGACTGGACACAATTTGAACAAGCTGAATGAGAGACCTGAAATTCACCCATACCCAGTTCTCTCTGAGTCAGTCCCACTGACCCTGCCCTTGAGCTCGGGCCTGCTACCCTCTCATCATTGGGTAGAACCTTCCTTATGTCCTTTTGGGGTCCATGGCAAACCCTTCAGGGGTTCTTCTGGATCCACAGGACTGCCTAACACTTTTGGGGTGATTCTTCCTGTGCTTATCCTGATGTCCCAGGGGCTCTGGCCCTTGGTTGCAGCCCAGTGGTACCACTTAGCTCTTTGTTCTCAGGCTTCTTGTTGCTGGGGAGGTTTGGGGGTGTCTTGTTAGGACCTGAATTCCCACAGTGTAGTGCTTGGCCTCTGCCTGACTGCCTCATCTGATGGTCGCTCCAGGTGATGACTCTAACCCAGAGACCATATGTAGAGGATGCTAGAGCTTTCTGTGAAGTCATGAGGGACAGATTGGCCTATTCTTCTTGGCTTGGGTTAGGACTCCCCAGAGGGCCAAGCTGTAGCTCTGAATACTGCCTTGAGTGGATTTGAAGGAACCTTGACTTAGGTGGTCACTTCCCCTTTCTTCACAGGTCCCTCTGTCTCAGATGGCCTATGGCCCATCTCCACCACCTCAGATCCTCTACAACCCTGCCCAGCAGATCCTGGCCTACACCGGCTTGTGCCCTCCATCTATGACTGTGCCAACCTGTTCCTCCTACCCTCTGCCGCTTCAGGTAGGCAAGTGTTACCTGCTGGGGTTGGGCATGCCACTGAGTCAGTGGTTGTTTCTGTGGGCTGCTGAGTAGACAGGGTAGGGCTTTGCATAGAGATGGGTGTGCTTTGATCTAGATGATGGGGACTGGGATCGTTATGGGGTGGGCCATGTCTTTGCAAAGTGTCTTGCTGCCCATGGCCCTAGTAACCCACAAGAGCATTCTTCCTACTGGAAGAACTATTTTTGTATACACTGTTTTTTAGCTGTTTTATACACTGATTATTTTAGTCACAAACTGGCCTTATACAGGCCAGAGGGACTGAGATGCCACTGGCTACCTGGGTTCTGAAGATTTGTATGACATTGAGTGTTCTAAATGGAGCCAGGTGTATGCCAACATCCTCTGAAATTTATCTGAAAAGCTGTCAACCCTATAGGTTGACATAGGGGCTCATGTGCCCTACACGTGTGAACCTTGAGGCCATCAGGAGAGAGGTCTGGAATAAGATCTTGTTTGAACATGGCTTTGCCTCTGTTCCACTCTTAGAGTTGACTTGTTCGTCTCCTACGAAGCTCTGGTGGCCATGTATAAAAGGGTCCCGGTTGTCTAATGGTATTATATTGACTTGCACTTGGCACTGGGGACGTGTGATCCTCTCGCCTTGCATCTTAGCACTATGAGGTGTCAGGCAGGCCCTGTTCTCTGCCTACCTACTCAGAAACCCCTCGTCATGACAGCCAAACCATCTGCAGGCGTTGCCCAGTATCTCCTGTGGGGAGGTTGAGAATCCAGGTCTAGACAAACCTTCTAGACGGAGTGACGCCCTACTCACGTGCTGTGCAGTGACTTGTCTTATGGCCCTAACAGAAGCAGATGAGCCTCAGGGCTGTGCTGAGTATGTCTCTGTGTCATCACACTATGCTGAAGTGAGTCTCTTTGGCCCGTGGGCCCTGGTGAATGCGGTTACGTCATTTGTTTTGAAGTCACACATCCTCGGGTATTCCCCGGGAGAACTGCACCTAGTGAGTCACAATAAAATAAAGCGAGGCCTTGCTGAGCAAAGCGACTGTTTGGGGAGGGCTCGAGTGTCGAGCTCTGACCATCTCAGATGGAGAAAGCTATCAGGGCCCCAGGACTGACCCTATAGAGTAACTAGGTGTGAGTAATGCTTGGGGGTCTTTTGACCATCTGGACTCCACATATGTGAAGTGGGGGCTGGATGAAGGCATGGAAACCCCAGTATCTAGGACCCCAAAGTAAAGCTTCATTCTGTTTTCCAGGGCTAACTCTGGTGCCCTGGAAGTCACTGTACTGCTGTACCCCACCTCCAAGGGGCAGGTCCCTTTTCTCTGAGCTTCAGATTCCTCTGCTTACCTGAAAATGAAGCTGGGGCTGTAATCCCTGAATTACTTGGGTTATTTGGGGTTTGGAGGAAGGATGCTGCCATGGTCCACTGGGTCTGGGCTCTCAGTGTGATACCCCCAGGCTGTACTAGTGGGACTTCCCAAAGGGAACTGAACCCTCATCCACTGGAGTCTCAGGGATCCCAAATCAGGGAACGTAAGGCCCTGTGGGTAAAGCCTGCCTCAGGACCAAGTGTCCCCTCTCTGGAACATAGAAATCAGCTATGTCTAGCTACATCTAGGAAATGAGATGGTTCAAGGGTACTAGCAGGAGTAGCTGCCACTGCAAGGCCCCTGCCTTTTCATGGCACTTCCTGTGTTGGCCTGGAGAAGGATCGCCCTGGTCTTCAGCCAGGAAGGACACGGTCCTCTGAGGTCACGGTTCATTCTGGACCTGCTCAGTTCTCCTGGTAGTCTGTCAGATCCACATGAGACTCTTAGGACTACCTCTGGGTAGACCTGGTGGGGCTCCCAGAGCTGGTCTGGCTGCCTTTGGACACAGAGCGACTAAATCACATAGATGCCGAGAAGACAACTCCAGAGCACAGCCTGTGCAGCATGCGATTCTCCACAGGGGACAATGATGAACAGGGAATATGGGGCTCCATTCCGTCCTACCTGGTGTCTAGTGTATTTGGGTCAGTCCTGGTACCTGCTCGCCTCTCTGTCTTGAAACCCTGGCCTGGGGAAGAAAGGACCGCTGTGGAGGGGGCTCCCAGCCTGCTCTCTCAGAAAGTAAGATTCCCTATGAAGTGTTCTTCCTTGTTCCATGTTGAAAAGACAAATGCCTCTTGTGGTGGTGTACAGGGGACAGTCCTTTACCATGGATACACTTTGGGAACCTGGAAGATGACTTGCCAATTCCCATCAGTGCTCCTCTTCTCCTACCTTCTGGGGCCTTCGTTTTGTAGATAGTGGGTGCTTTCCCTGCTCCCAGAGGAGGCCTGAGAGCCCTACCCCTGGGCTGAGCAGCTTTCGCGGCAGCATGTGTGGGAGTGTAATTGCCACATGTGTTTAGTAATCAGATTTCTGGGGACCAGGCGTATCGGATGAGCCTGCGTGCTTCCTACGAGCAACGGAATGGAGGCTGTCGCCATTGCTCAGCAGACGGAAGGAGATATTTTAAGTGTCCTGTTGAAGTCATTAGCAACCAGAGAACATCCCTGAATATCAGGAGGGAGTGAGATGGCTGTGTGGGGGTGTTTTAGGAAGCTAGTCAAAAGGAAAACTTTAAATGGGCCTGTGCCAGCACCCAGCAGTTTGCCCAGCATGACACTAAGGTCAGCCTGAACTACCGTTGCTGGGGTGGTCTTCTCCATGTGGGCAGGGTCTGCCATAACGCGGCCTTGTTTAGTGAGGTGGTTTCATCGAAGTTTCCTGGTGGTTTATCCTGAGGTTCCTGGTGGCTTATCTTGCGGTTCCTGATGGTTTATCTTGTGGTTCCTGGTGGTTTATCCTGAGGTTCCTGGTGGCTTATCTTGCGGTTCCTGATGGTTTATCTTGTGGTTCCTGTGACCTTGAGCTGTGGTTCTTAAGGGCTTGCTTTATGGTTTGTGTATTCACTTATTTTCAGAAAAGAGCAGAATTGACAGCGTGGGAAGTGCATCCTAGCAGACCTAAAAGGATGACCTTTAGACATGCATTGGTCCCTGTGGTCAGAGGAATGCATACACAGATTTGAGGGTGAAACAAGAGAAAATTCCTGAGCCAACAGTTGAATTTTTTTGTGACAATCTTGGGTTGTCAAAATTGATTGCCCAGCATAACCCTAAGGATGAGGGAGACCTTCTCAGTCTCAGCCCTTCCTTGGGAGAAAATGTTTTTAGGGTGGCCATGCTGCCAGAGCCTGACTCCAGTACTAGGAAGACGAGTTGGCTACTCAGGGTCCCCAGATGTAGCCAGTAGGAGCACCACACCATAGCATACAGCCTGTAGGAGCACCGCACCATAGCATACAGCCTGTAGGAGCACCGCACCATAGCATACAGCCGACAGGAGCACCGCATCATAGCATACAGCCGACAGGAGCACCACACCATAGTATACAGCCGGCAGGAGCACCACACAGCATATAGGCGGTAGGAGCACCACACCATAGCATACAGCCTGTAGGAGCACCACATCACA